CATTTTTACAATGCATAGATATGAATACATGACTTAGATAAATACATAAACGGTATATAAATAAATGCAAAATATGTTAATATATTGTAGTGTGATGTATTTTTAAGGTATTTGTTCTCTTAATTTTTTTTTTAAATCTTCAAAATTATGTCATTTCAATAAAATCTCATAAAACTTTAACAAAATAATGTAGTTTTGAGATGTTTGTCTTCTTAATTTTTTAAGAATTTAGTTGACAAATACTAATATATTTAATTTATATACATAAAAAATATATATAATAGTAAACCTAAAATGATATACAAAAAATTTTAATACCTAATATAGACAACAAAATTATTCTCTCTAATCTTTTTTAGTTGTCTTATTGCTTTAATTTTATATAAATTAATTTGATAATTTTAAATAATAAATAAATAATAATTAAAATTTTTTAATTTAAATAAAAATACTCAATAAAAAATTTTATAAAAATTTTAAATTATTACTTATCATATAAAATTATATAATTAAATAAAAATTAAGATAAAACAATTAAATCCGAAAAGAGAGAATATTAGATATGCTAATACGATACTAGTAGCCTTAGGCAAAAGTGGTAAGTGGCTGCGGCGCCACCGACCCCCAATGGGTTTTCTTTCCTTTTGTAGAATGAGTTGGGTATTGACATGGTAAGAGGTGGGTAACGTATCACTTGTGGTAATTATTATTATTATTATTATTATATTTATATCGATTACAAAATATGAGATAATTATTTTTTATTTTTTATTTTATTTCATTCGTATATTATACGATTTGAATTTATAATTTTTTATTTTCAACGAAATAAAATGAGTACTGAGTTATTTAAATTGTTATTTATTAATGGTAATTATTAAATTACTAAATATGAGTAATTTAAAAAATTCTTATTTAGATTAATAGTTTGTTTAGTTGGAAGGAAAATGAGAGGACGGGAGATAATTTTTTTATTATAATTTTAACAATAAAAGTTAAAGGAAAGAGAGAAAAAGAAGAGATTTTTTTTCCTTAATCCTTTCGTAAATTTAGCGTAACTAAATGAGAGACGAGGAGAGGAAGGAAGTATAGGGAAATAAGAGGATATTACCTCATTTTCCTTTTCCTTCCCATCCCACTCTCCATTTTTCTCAAATTTAACAGGAGGTTAAGGTTAGAAACAACTATTATGCCAAATAAGTTTTAATATATGGAAAAAAGTATTTCATTGGATATA